CTTTTTGACAGACTTTTAGGCCTACTAATGCAGCGACAAAAAAAAAAAAAAACTTTTAAAAATGCCAAAAGACTTTGCCCTTATTTCTCACATAAAATACATTGAAATGAAACCTATTATGAAATGCCAAAAGACTTTGCATTTATTTCTTACATAAAATACATTGAAATGAAAACTAAACAATTATTCTCATAAATGTTCAATGAAGTGCTATCAACATTTTTTTTAAAGGCCAATTGGATTTTACATTTCATTTCTTCCAAGTCATTTATACTCCCCATTTATACATATACATAAAATTGTTTTGCCCCTTTTCCATAGCCTAAGGCACTTTAAATTTAAAAGTTTTCTAAAGAGAAGGCAAAGAGTACGCTGAATTTTTACATATTGAACACAAAAGGGTATTCAAACTTCAAGCATTAAGGTAGGGGTGATCTTGGCACTTGTGTAAGTGGTTTAAGAGATATTTGTTTTCGTTTTACATCAAACTTATTGTTGTGTCACTCATGTAGGAGGCACCGTTTGGTGGGTCAAATAAGAGAAAGAAATTGAAGGTGACACTATTATTGTGTAGTCATGAAGGAAGCACCCTTTGGTGGTTCAAAATAAGAGAAAGAAATTGACGGTGGCAAGAATAATCAAAGTTTGCATTTCTGAAAATATATATGTATTTTATCATTTACTCTAGCGTCTTCTTACTGAGCATTATTCGTAGTACTCACACCCACGATAATCTCATAGGTTGATTTGAGGCATGGCGGAGGTTTAGCATAGTGGCAAGTGCTCGGCAATCTGAAAAGCTTTCACTTTCTAGTAAAATTTCCAATTTATATCAACGTATTATGAATATTTTAGATGGTACTTTTAAAGACGTTTAAGCATCTATTTCATACAGTTTTATATGATATTCATGTCAACCATAATTTGGAAACGTTGGTATTTCTATGACCGAAGTTTATTCACTATTGATTATAATTCCAGATTTTGTCTTTCATTTGAAAAAGGTATAATTTGGGCTATGTTGTATATTTTAGAATGAAATAAGTGGCATTTAAAAGGTCTATGAGTCTTCTAACAGTAGCCTTTGGAATTTCCTTAAAACATTAACTAGAGAAAAAGTTATGTCCATTTTGGTAAACTGCGTCGTTTCAAAACCGGGTTTTCTGTCCAGCAAGTTCGAGCAATATTTTCATCCTTCAATCGTTATCATCAAGCCCCCAAATTTTTTATATGTAGTACATATATGAATACTTTAGTCCCTGTAAAAATTTCATAAATTTTAACAAACATTTGCTAGGGCAAATATATTTTTCTTCCGCTGTTGTTCCATCCGAAATTGCTGAATCACCTCCAAATGTTTTCCAAAACCAAATTTCACCATAATTTTATAAGTTTATATGAATAACTACTTCCCATTATATTTTTATATGTTTCAAAACCCAAAAAATTTCTAATTTACAAATTATTTTGGTTAACATCAAAGGGGTCTAACCAAAGAAAGATCGATTATTTTTTACGCTTTGAGTTGGGCGTTACAACTTGGTATCAGAGCAATGGTTCATTTTCCGTAGACTCACATTGGAAAGTAAATCTTAGGAGTGTTGTGTCACATATAAGTTGAATAATTTTATATGCTTTTTTTTTCTAATGAAGATCCTGAGCACTATGCCTGTCATGCTATGCCATGCAAATTTTGAGGTAAAGAAAGTTTTACAAATGTGATTGCGTCTATGCGATGATTATAAGAATGTTTATTTGAGATGCAATATTTGAAATGTATGTATATTCAGCATATAGTTTGAATACTTTTGTATCAAATTAGTAATGTACCAAGTATTTTTTTAGAGCGTGACAAGATTAAATGTTTGTTTTAGTCCTCAAGAATTAACTAAAACTTATTAGACACCCACTTATTGGATTTTGAACTTGTAGGAAGACGAGTTCATCGATGCCTCATCGATATGAGATCTTGAGTCAATATGAAGAGTATCGATGGAATCCAATGCACAACATGGGCCAACACATTTGGGAGATGTTAGTAAGATGGAGGGAAGTGAGACAACTAGGCTATGTGGTCACTGGTCGTCGAGCCACCCGCCTCCTTATTGAGACATTGCTAGAAGAGTGGCTAGAGGTGGCCGAATCGATTTATAATTATTTATGGGAGGTTGCTGTGCCTACCTTACCTCGAGAGATTGATTATGAGGTCTTCTGTGCATAGCTAATTAAGCGGTGGAGCTGGCCAGACTTAAGATCCCTGAGGACGATAGTGTACCTACCGAGATGCACATTCGTGAAGATGCACCTCCACCTATTTCGGATGATGAAGTTCAGTTTTATAAGAAACCTAGGATTCATGGAGGCTAGATTAATGGTTATGATAGCAATGATGAATAAGTGAATTTTAGTAGTTTTTATCAGGTTTAATTGTTGTTGGTGTTTAGTAGAATTTCTTTTAGGATGCTATGGAATAGTGCCAGACGTTCTTTTACTTTTTTTTTTGTCTCCCGAAGAATTTGTATGAGACAATAATAAAGGATATCGAGTTATGAATCTTTTTCATATATTGCGCAAATATCGTTGGCTCCTTTAAATGAGATTGCAATTACTCTAGCATATAGGAATATGGCACAACGAGGACAATTAGGGAGTTAAGGCAGGAGATTGATGAGTTGAGATAGGCCTTGGCTGCTCAGGTTACACCTCTAGCACCTTAAGCTTCACTAGTTCCACAAGCTCCGCTACCGCCACCAACATACTCGACAACATAAAGACTTCGGGAAAAGGAAGTGGCAGGGCAAGAATAAGAATACGGGATAGTTTAAGAAGGAGATGCATATGGGTCAGTCAAGCAATCCTATATCCCAATGTCCTAAGTGCAACAAGTTTCTCAAAGGAAAATGTCTGTATGGAAAGTATGTTTGCTATAAGTGTGGTCAACCCAACAATGTTGCTTCTTCGTGCCCATCAATTAAGAAACCCGACAAGAGAAAAAGGGAAAAGCAAGGGTGTTTACTTTGACTCACGATGAGGCTGCTAAAAATCTAGACGTGATTGCAAGTATTTTATCCATCTCTGATATTCCTATTTACGTCCTGATTGATTTTGGTGCGATACATTCGCTCATATCTAATGCATGTCTAGCTAAGATTAATGTTTCATGTCAGAAGAATGATAGTGTTCTAGAGGTGAGTATGCCATCAGGTGGAGCTATTGATACGGATAGGATAGCAAAAGGGGGTACAGATAGATTTTGATGGACTGACTTTAGAGGCTGACTTGTATGTTATAGAGATGAAAGATTTTGATATTATTTTAGGTATGGACTAGTTGGGTGAGAATAGAGCCACGATAGTATGTTTTGAGAAAGAAGTAATTTTTCGAAGATCGAGAGAAGAGGAGTTCAGATTTTATGGAACGAGGATTAAGGCACTTTCTCACGTTATCTCAGCATTAAAAGCAGAGAGCGTGTTGAGAAAGGTTGACTGTGAAGGATATCTTGTCAGTCTTACTAGCACATCCACTCAAGAGAAAGTATTAGGTGATGTGGCAATAGTACGAGAAAATGTTGACATGTTTCCCAAAGATCTACTGGGTACTCTGGCCGATAGAAAAGTGAAGTTCACAATAGATCTGATACCTAGAGCTACCCCTGTGTCCAAAGCTCCATACTGAATGGCACTAAAGGAATTACAGGATTTGAAGATGCAGCTTGAAGAACAAAGGGCTCATTAGACCAAGTGTATCTCCATGGGGAGCTCCGGTACTCTTTGTAAAAAGAAAGATGGTACTATGAGGATATGCATTGACTACCATGAACTAAATAAGTTGACGATTAAGAATAAGTATCCCCTTTCTAGAATTGAGGACCTATTTGATCAGTTGAAGGGTACATTCGTGTTCTTGAAAATTGATCTAAGGTCAGGCTATCGTCAGTTGAAGATCAAGTAGACTGACATAACAAAGACAGCATTTAGGACCCGATATGGGCATTATTATGTTTACAGTGATGTCCTTTGGCTTGACGAATGCCCCAACGGTATTTATGGACTTGATGGATAGAGTGTTCTATCGGTATTCGGACATGTTTGTCATCGTATTTATTGATGACATATTAATATACTCGAGAGATTCTCATCAACATGAAGAACATCTGAGGATAGTTTTAAAAACACCGCATAAGGAAAATTTATATGCTAAATTCAAGAAATGTGAATTTTGGCTAGATTGAGTTGGATTTCTAGGCCATACTATTTCAGCATGAGGAATTGAAGTGGATCAGTCCAAAGTTGAGGCTATGACCAATTGGTCGAAACCTACAAATGTTGGAGAAGTGCGGAGCTTTCTGGATTTAGCCAATTATTATCGAAGATTTATAGAAGGATTTTCCAAGATAGCAAGTTCTATGACACAATTGACTAGGAAGGGTACTAAGTTCTTATGGGTAGAGAAATGCGAGCAGAGTTTCCAGGAGTTAAAGGACAAACTCGTATCTGCACTAGTGTTGACTATTCCAAACGGTTCGGAAGGTTTTGTGATTTATAGTGATGTATCCAAGCTTGGTTTAGGATGTGTTTTAATGCAACATGGGAAAGTCATTACTTATGCTTCGAGGCAATTGAAGCAATATGAACAGAATTACCCTACACATGATCTTGAACTAGTAGCGGTAGTGCACGCCTTGAAGATTTGGCGCCACAACCTATACGGGAGCAAATGTGAGATTTATACTGATCACAAGAGTTTCAAATACTTCTTTACCCAGAAAGAGTTTAATATGAGACAACGACAGTGGTTAGAATTGGTGAAGGATTACGACTGCACTATCTTGTACCATTCGGGTAAGGCCAATGTAGTTGCCGATGCATTGAGTAGAAAAACATGGGACGGTTGTCAGTACTTTGTACGAGGCAGGACCATTTAATCAGAGATTTTGAGAACCTGAGAATTGAAGTTTTAACGTCACCAGTAAGGACATCGACAATGTTAGAAGTTTTACTATGAAGCTGACACTCAGGGACAAAATAGTAGCTGCTCAGAAAAATGATCCTTTTTTGGAAAAGAGATTTGAAATAGTCGAAGATAAAACCTTGATGTTTAAGGGTTGATTATGTGTGTCGAAGGATGAAGTATTTAGGAATGAGATTATAGGTGGAACTAAAGTGTATAAAGATTTGCGTGATAGATTTTGGTGGAGAAATATGAAGGGGAAGTATAGCCTTGTTTGTGTCCAAATGTATGGTTTGTCAACAAGTAAAAGTTGAACATCAGAGGTCGTCAGGGCCATTGAATCCTATGGACATACCCGAATTGAAGTGGGAAAAGATTGCAATGTGGGTTTTCCTAGATCAGTGAGAGGTCACGATGCGATCTGGGTGATTATGGATCGACTTACAAAACCTGCTCATTTCTTGCCAGTTCGGACAACCTATACTTAGAACAGTTTGTACAGATTTATATTAGAGAGATTATGCGACTTTATGGTGTTTCAGTTTCTATTGTATCGGATAGAGAACCAAGGTTTACTTCAAAGTTTTGGATAAGCCTTTAGAAAGCTATGGGTACCAAGTTAACGATTAATACTGCATACCATCCTCAAATTGACAGACAATTTGAACGAATTATCCAAGTGCTTGAAGATATGTTGAAAGCTTGTGTCCTAGATTTGGGTGGCAAGTGGAAAGACCATTTGCCGTTCGTTGAATTTGCATACAACAATAGCTTCCAAGCTATTATTGGCATGGCACCATATATGAGGCTTTGTATGGTCGTCAATGTCGTTCATCATTATACTGGGACAAAGTTGGTGAAAGGAAAGTTTTAGGCCCAAAATTGGTCGAGAAGACTTACATAAAATTAGATCAAGAATTAAGACCACCCAAGATCGTTAAAAGAGCTATGCTAACAAAAGGAGAAAGGAATTGACTTTTGAGGTTGGAGAGAAAGTGTTTCTCAAAGTGGCACCAATGAAAGGAATACTACGATTTGGGAAGAAAGGGAAATTGAGTCCAAGATTTATTGGTCCATTTGAGATTCTTGAAAAAATTGGGAATGTGGCATATCGTTTAGCATTGCCACTCAAACTATCAGCAGTGCACGTCTTTCACGTTTCTATATTGAGAAAGTACATTTCAAATCCTAACCATGTGGTGATGTTCGATCACTAGATGTTCACAATGATGTGATGTACGAAGAAGTTCCTGTAGTGATTCTAGAGAGAAAAGACCACGTTCTGATTCCATTAGTCAAAGCCTAGTGGAGTAGACATAGTGAGAGTGAGGCCACTTGGGAAAGGGAAGAAGACATTTTAGCCAAGTATCCCGACTCCTTAAACAAGTAAGTTAAATTTTGAGGATGAAATTATTTTAAGTGGGGGAGAGTTGTAGTGAACCAAAAAAAAAAAAAAAAATTTAAAAATGCCAAAGGTTATGAAATGCCAAAAGACTTTGCATTTATTTCTCACATAAAATACATTGAAATGAAACCTATTATGAAATGCCAAAAGACTTTGCATTTATTTCTCACAAAAAATACATTGAAATGAAAACTAAATAATTTTTCTCTTAAATGTTCAATGAAGGGCTGCCAACATTTTTTTTAAAGGCCAATTGGATTTTACATTTCATTTCTTCTGGTCATTTATACCCTCCATTTATACACACACACAAAATCGTTGTCATCAAGCCCCCAAATTTTTATATGTGGTACATATATGAATACTTTAGTCCCTGTAAAAATTTCATAAATTTTAACAAACATTTTCTTGGCTAAATATATTTTTCTTCTGCAGTTGTTCAATCCAAAATTGCTGAATCGCCTCCAAATGTTTTCCAAAACCAAATTTCGCCATAATTTTATAAGTTTACATGAATAACTACTTCCCATTATATTTTTATATGTTTTCAAAATGCAAAAACTTTCTAATTTACAAATTATTTTGGTTAACATCAAAGGGATCTAACCAAAGAAAGATCGATTATTTTTAATGCTTTGGGTTTCAAGAATTCGGGGCATTACACTAATACCCCGTTTGGCTCCCATTAAATTTTATTCCATTACATTCTATTTTTCTTTCTCCTATTTTCAACCATACAATCTTTCATAAAATAATATTACACGTAAATCGAAAAATTTTCGTTCTTTTTCAACCACTCATTTTTTAAAAAAAAACACTATTCATCAATTTTTATTACCAAAAAATGGGGGCCAAACGGGGGTTAAAATTCAATATTCTCTTTCACCTTTAAATACCATAAAAAGTTTTTATTATTTATCCTAGAAAATTTAGGTACTCGTATACAGTGATAGCAGCAACACATACAAAAAATAAGTTTGGAACGTGAATTTGGATTTTGTCTTCCAAAAATTGATTTATCTCGCAAGGTAGGATATCGAGGTGCAGCGTATTCTATCCCGTGAATTTGGCAAGTGAAGCAGTGCAGTCGTGATGCCAACAATTGTGGAATTCAAAATAAATAAATTCTGAATAACATGACTATAGACTTTTATTTTTAGTGTTATTTTAGTTTTTATTTTCATGTGAAATTTTCTATTTAGGATTTGGGACATGTTTTGATTAATTATGTTTTCCATATGTTTTATTTATTTTATAGATGGAACTAGAAAACTTTTCATGTTGGGATATTTGATTGAGTTTATTTAATTATGGAATGAAAGTTTTAGTAATGATTTAAATTGTTCGAGTTTGGTTTGCTACAAAGGCTTATGGCATCTTGGCCATATTCACTAACTCATTAAAATTGTGACAAGTACAAATGAACCTAGAAGAAACATTATAAAGTTTCAAGTATTGGGCTTCAGGTAGAATAACCCTTCATTACCTCCTTGTCCTTAGACTCCTACATGCTTAGAGTTGATAGAAGTAGGCATAAACTTGTTTTCAGAAGTGGAAGCAGTGTGAAAATTTAACCTTAGTCTCTAAAGACTATTTCACTACTCTCAACTCACTGAGACTTCTAGTAGACTCCTTACATTTAGCTACAAGTCTCTATCTTTCTAGTTCAAGTTCAATTTCATTGATATTTTTAACCATGACACTATTCATTTTTTCAGCTTAAGAATGTCTTCAAACAGTTTGTCATAAGTGTCATAGAAATACCACTCATCTACAAAATCTTCCTCAGAGAACTCAATTTGTTCTAAGCCTTCAACCTTCTCATTCTCTTCCCATATTCACTCTTAACAATAGAAGTGAATGCCAAATAGTTCAAATCCTCGAAGTTGGAATTCTCACATTGATTATTAGAGTTAGACTCGTTGTCAGTGATAGTTGCGTTCATGTCCCTGCCTAGGGTTTTCTTATAACTTGAGGCACTTTGCTATAATGTGATCAAATCCTTCACGACACTCATGACATCAGACTGATTGCGACTTTTTTTTTCTAATAATCTTTCCTGAATGTACTATGGCCTTCCTCATATTTATTTTTAGGTTTCTTATTATTCCCAAAAGTTATTTTTAATTTCTTATTAAAATAAGTTCTTTCCTCATCATTAAATGTGTCGTCTTCGGTAGTGTTATATTGTTTTTCCCTAATTGTATTTAAGGCAGCAGACTTATCTTTCTTAGATTTAGATATGGTTAGCTTATAAGTTATGAGGGATCCGACTAATTCTTTTATCTTAACTATATATAAGTCTTTGCTCTCCTCGATAATTGTGATCTAAGGTCTAAATCTCTTAAGTAAGGATCTAAAGACTTTTCTCACTATTTTCATCTCGAGAAATTGTTTACCTAGGTTGAAACCAGAATTTACTATGTCAATCAACATCATATAGAAATCATCAAAGGATTTATATCCCTGATTTTAATCTCTTCAAACCAAGTGGTCAGCATCTAAAGCGTAGAGTTTTTCACTATCTTAGTACCCTCATATGTGGTATCAAGAATGTCCCAAACTTCTTTCTCAATCTCACACGTTGACGGGTCGCATGAACTTTTTAGGTGACACAGCCTTAAATAGGGCATGACCTCGTTTACTATTCGAGTTACACTCTGTTAGGACATCATTGGTTTACATATTAACTTAACACACTCACAATTGCATGTGATAGGCCTGCGTTTTCAATACATTTAAATAAGAAGCAATAAAGTTGCGCAAAACCTAGAACCTCTTTATCATTTTACTTTATTATGAATTGATCGCAAGATTATGACAATAATGAAATAAACAAGAAAGCAAAATTAGGAACACCAAGATTTATGTGAAAATCCAAGATGGGAAAAATGATATATAGAGGAGAAGAAATCCACTATAATCAATAGCAATCGTATTTATAAGATCTCAATGCTCTCAACTGAGATCTAAAACTTTCAAGATGTTATATGAATGTTATGAGAACAATACAAACCACAACTTATATATATAAGACCCTAGAATGCAAGTTGTAGATGAATAGAAGTTCAAAACCCATTAAAATGTGAAAACGTGTTTGGGCCGAATAACACTGTCGCTCAAGCAATGGACGGGCGAGAGGCGCGAATAGCCTTGTCGCTCGTGTGCCGGGCAGGTGACGGGTGAACAATAACTTTCTATTGAAAATACGATGACTTTTCTTCTTGGTCCATAATTTTGATACTCCAAGACCCACTAGAATTTGGCCACATTACAACAATTTTTTACCTTGAACCAAATTCAATACAAGGAATTCCAAAAACATATCTTTAAAGTAAACACCACTTCTCCTCTTCCAACCAAGCCCCAATAGGCTAAATCAATGATAAACATCAACTATGTTCAAGAAATGCTCAATTTAGCAATGGAAAGTGGTTTTGTCATCATATCAGTAGGATTATCCTTGATATCAAACTTGTTCACTACAATATCACAACAAGCACAATCACATCATGCACAAAATGATACTTCACATCAATGTACTTAGTCCTTTCATGGAACATTTGATTCTTAGTCAGAAAAATAGGACTTCGATTATCACAGTAAATAGTAGAAATCTGCAAGTCTTTACTGATTTCACCAATCAATTATCTCAACCATATAGCCTCCTTACATACCTCTCCGTAATGGCCATGTATTCTGGTTCTGTTGTAGACAAAGCTACTATAGTTTGTAAAGTAACTTTCCAATTGATAGCACAGCCTCCAAGGGTAAACACATACCCTATAAGTGATTTCCTCTTATCAAGATCCCCTACACAATCTGAATCCACATACCCAATGAAGCCGTCTTAATTTCTGCCAAAATGGAAGCAAGCATTAGTAGAGCCCTTCAAGTATCTGAATGTCCGTTGTACTAATTTCCAATGTTCCTTGTTAGGATTTTCCATGCTAAACTCATAATGCCCATATCGGGTCCTAAATGCCGTCTTTGGTACATCAACTGATTTAATCTTCAACTGATGATAGCCCAACCTTAAATCAATTTTCGAGAACACAGATGTGCCCTTCAATTGATCAAATAGATCCTCAATCCTAGGAAGGGGATACTTATTCTTAATCGTCAACTTATTTAGTTCACGATAGTCGAAGTACATCCTCATAGTATCATCTTTCTTCTTTATAAAGAGTACTGGAGCTCCCTATGGAGATACACTTGGTCTAACGAATCGTTTGTCTAGAGTTCTTCAAGTAGCATCTTCAACTCTTGTAAATCCTTTGGTGCCATTTGATAAGGAGCTTTGGACACAGAAGTAACTCCAAGTACCAAATCTATCGTGAACTACACTTGTCTATCGGGTGGAGTACCTGGTAGGTCATAGGGAAATGCGTCAATCTACTCTCATACTATTGGCACATCATCTATTACTTTCTCTTGAGCGGAGGTGCTAGTAAGACTGACAAGATATCCTTGACAGTCCACCTTTCTCAACATGCTTTTTGCTTTTAAAGCTGAGATAATACGGGAAGTGCCTTAATCCTCGATCCATAAGATCTGAACTCCTCTTCTCCCGATCTTCGAAAAATTACCTCTTTCTCAAAACATACTATCGTGGCTCGATTCTCACCTAACCAATCCATGCCTAAAATTATATCAAAATCTTTCATCTCTATAACATATAAATCGGCCTCTAAAGTCAGTCCATTAAAATTTTTCTATACCCCCTTTGCTAACCAATCAGTATCAATAGTTCTCCCTGATGGCATACTCACCTCTAGTACACTATCATTCTTCTGACTTGAAGCATTAATCTTAGCTAGACATGCATTAATGTGAACGAATGCATCAAACTGGAATCAATCAGGACGTAAACAGGAATATTAGAGACGGATAAAATACCTGCGATCACATTTGGATTTTTGGCAGCCTCATCATGAGTCAAAGAAACACCCTTGCTTTTCTTTTCTTCTGTTGTTCGGGTTTCTTAATTAATGGGCACAAAGAAGCCACATGGCCGGGTTAACCACACTTATAGCACATACTTTTCGTCCAAACATCTTCCTTTGTGAAACTTGTTGCACTTAGGACATTGAGATAAATGATTGCTTAGCTGACACATCTGCTTCTTAAACTTTCCTGTACTCTTATTCTTGTCCTGCCATTTCCTTGTCCCAAAGTCTTTACGCTATCCATGATTTACCAACTTCACCTCCGAGTAGTTCACTATTTGAGCTTTCTTTACCACCGCTTGAAAAGTTGTGAGATCGTATGAACTCACAATCTGCCTGATCTCTAGGCACAGGCCCTTCTCGTAACGTTTTGCCTTCATGAGCTCAGTACTTACAAAATGTGGGGCATATTGTGACAATTCCTTGAATTTTCTCTTATACTCAGCAAGTTCCGTATCTCCCTATACCAGTCTTAAGAATTCGATCTCCTTGTAGTCTCGCATAGCTTGCTAAAAAAACCTTTTGGTTAGCTCTATCTTGAACTGTTCATCTTCGGTGTGAGTACGTGAGACGATCTCCCCCCCCAATGGCCCACTCTACCGATTAGCATAAACTTTGCACATAATACCTTTTGATTTTCTGAAAAAGAGATGTGCTGGAAGATCTTCTCAATAGTACATAACCACTCATCAACTACCAGTTGATCCTTCCAACATCAAAGGTAACAGGTCGATATCTATGAAATCGTTCCACCGTCGGAACAGGCGGCGCCATCGGGTATGTTGGTGGTACTTGGGGGACTAGTGAAGCTTGAGGTACTGAAGGTGTAGCCCGAGCAGCCAGGGCTTGTTTCAACTCATCAATCTCCCGCCTTAACTCCCTAATTGTCCTCACTTGTGCCATATTCCTATATACCAAAAATAATTGGATAAGGTAAGTGTATTATATCCAAAGTGTGAAAATAAGTACAAGATCACAGGGGCATACCCCCAGGAAACAAGGCTAGGAAAATATGCCTTCCTAGTACCAACAACAAGATCCTAGATTTTTAGCCTAGCCATGACAAGAGAAAATATCCATAGAAAAATCCCATGAGCGTTGGAACCATCTATTTTCATTAGATGGAGCCAAGCCCTTACATAAATCCACTCGTGTACAAATAGTAAAAACAACGTCCTGAATAATAGCAGACTCATGTTTAGGAGCCTCACCATGGGTCCTAGCACTACGCTCACACCAAATAGCATAAATCGAAGCCGCAAACATCAAACGAATAACAGTAAAACGGAATGACCTCCCATGAAACTGCTCCATCCAAGAAAAGCATTTGACCATCTTCATTGAACCCAATGCAGGTTACAGTTCACATGCAAAGCTTGCTAAACATGCTCAAAAAATGGGCAAGCAAAGAAAAGATGGTCTAGATTTTCCTCTGAGCAACCACACAGCACACACCGCATAGACTGTTTCAAGCCAAAGCGAAGAACCTTTGTCTGTGTGTACCAGGTCACCCAAAGGCAACGAGGTCAAAGAGACTCCCAAGGGATCCGAACAGAGAAGACTCCATGCACATGATCCACCTAATGCAAGACATCTTCTCTAGTACAATCCGGCTAAAAAGTATAAAGCGTGCCTTGCATGAAATCAGACAATGCTAAGGAGCGACCTGATGGCCATCTCCAAGTGTCACTGTCAACAATATCAGCCACCTTAGCTAATATGCTCAATCTAGATTCATGAACGATCCTCTCACAAATAATCCTCTCTAAAGGAGCAAGAGGATGCCAATTATCAAACCAAAGTGAAGCACGTCTACCATTACCAATTTTGAATTTCATTTTGTCCCTCGCTATGTCTCTAGGTCCAAGAATCTTCCTCCAATTCCAAGAGCAATCCCCAGGACATTTCAATTCCCAAATGGTTCTACCTTTAAGTAAGTAGCACTGTGCCCACGAAACCCAAAGAGAGGACCCATAATCCGTATAAAGCAACCAGGTGTTTTAACATCGCAGCCTTATTCCATATCTCCATGTTACACAGACCTAGAACTCCCTCCTCCTTAGGCATACAAATTTTTGCCCAAGCAACTTTAATCCCACTGGTACCAAGGTCACATCCCTTCCACAAGAAGGCTCACAGAGTAGCATCCACTTGCTTGATCACGGCCTTAGGTAAAATAAATTCAAAAAACCAAAATAACACCGACTTAATAAGTTGTAACCTACCTGCATAGGAGAGTGTGTAACAAGTCCAACTCTTTGCCTTGGCTACAATATGATCGACCAACACCTTAAAATCTGAAGCTCGTAATTTTGTAGAGAAAAGTGGAACTCCAAGATAACATACCGGAAGCACACCCTCCTTATACCCTAAAACATCAAGTAACTGGTCTTTGAGATATGATGAAACACCACTAGCAAATAGATTACTCTTATCTGGGTTAGGAGTAAGGCCAAAAAGAGCTTTAAATTGATTGAGGCAATCCCCAATAAGAGATATAGAACCAATCTCAGCTCTACAAAAGACCACGAGATCAGCAACAAAACACAAGTGGGTGATCTTTTCCTTCTCAAACCTCCAGTGGTACTTAAAATCCTGCTTAGTAGCCATCATCCCCATTAACCCTGAAAAAACCTCCATTTCCAAGACAAATAAATAGGGCGACAAAGGATCTCCTTGTCTCAAACCTCTCCCTCAAGCAAAGAAACCATGCAACTCGCCATAAATGGAAATTGAAAATCGAGTGGTAGTGACATATTCAGAAATCCACGTAACAACCTTCTCCAGAAAATCAAGCACCCTTAAAACCACAAAAAGAAAATCCCAACGAACAGAATCATAGGCTTTCATGAGATCAATTTTAAGGACACATCTAGGCAATTCTCCATTGCGATGATAATTCCTCAACAACTCTTGGTAGAAAGATATTATCACTAAAGTGTCTCCCTTTATAAAAATAGTCTGTTGAGATCCAACAATGTCTGGAAGTACTATCTTGACTCTATAGGCAATAAGCTTAGCAACACGTTTATAAATAATAATGCAACAAGAGATAGGCCTAAAGTCTTTTGCCTGAGAAGAATTTGGAACTTTAGGGACCAATGCAATGTTTACTGCATTAACTTGCTTTAATAGCTGCCTCGAGTCAAAGACGGACTTGATGGCGCATAGAACATCATTTCCAACAATACTCTAAGCCCTCTTAAAGGTTTATTAAACCCATCTGGACCTGGAGCCTTGTTATCTTTCAAAGAGAACAAAACCTCCTTAATCTCCTCAAAAGACACATCTCTATCAAGGGTTTCATGCTACACCGCTGAGATACTCTTAGGAAGAGCCTTTTGAAGAAAGTCCATATCCAGACTCTCACCACTAGGTTGCTATCCAAGGAGATTTTGATAGAAATCCACAATAACTTTATTAACCTCATGCGGCTCCTCTACTTAAGTACCATCATCTCTACAAATGGAGACCACCTTATTCTTGGCATAATGACTTTTCATAGCCTTCAAGAAGAAAGCAGTATTCTGGTCTCCTAAATTCAGCCATTAACGCGAGCTTTTTGTCTCAAAAACCTTCCTCGGTCCTACTCAACTTGCAAAATTCCTTAAGTAACCGAGCCTCCTTCCGGTGTAAAGATGGATCCAAAGGCGAATGCTGAATCAAATTGTCACGCCCCCAAATTAACATTGATATCTATACACAACCTAGATATAGAATTTTACATATATATATTTTTTCCAATTTGTTAACTTCTAATCACCTGTGGGACGATCATATAACATATCGAAACCCAAAATCATATCGCCATAATCCAACTTATATATTCTGAGCTTATAAACATGTCTATAGGCCATTTCAAAAGTACACTATATAGGATTCCAAAATAAAACCCAACAGATAGCAGCCTACAAAATAACCCTACAGGTCGTCATGCTCTCTATGTAGTTCCATGCTCACCTACAATGCAAGAAATATAAGTCAATGCTTAGTAAGCAAAATCATGCATGTCCTGAACATGAGTAATAACGATATATGACATCATGACATTTACTTTAAATATCACGATAAAAAAAGTATCATATTTCAATATTCGTCAAACTCGACTAGAAATCTTTCATTTCATTGGGCCCTTAACTCACCTACTATGCACCGGATAGAGCTCTGCATAATATCAATATTAACAATCAAATGGCCAATATGAAATCGACACTGACGAGTGGACCATCCTCTCGTGACCACTAGAGGCCCATCCCCTGACTACCCCTATGATCACCCAATAAGTCTTCCACCCGGCAGTGCCAATAATCATAATATCACAAGGGCACAGTCGAGTGGTCAGCCCTCTCGTGATCACCAATGGCCCATCCCCTGTCTACCTTTGCAATCAACCAGGAAGTAACACCCGCAAAGCCAAACATATAACAAAAGCATGCCTCACATGTCTCGGTGTCCTAGTAGTGGTCAATAAAACATTTATAATGAAACTCACTTTGAAATAATGTTTTGCATGCAGGATTTTCAACCACGTCACATGTCGTGCATGCATATGAAAATGCTCACAAATGACATATTTAATGAAAATCGATGTGAATAGGTTACGTAACCTCATACTCAACAATCGTAACCACCATATGATGTGCTATAAGCTTCTTATCAAAGTTATGTAGATATTTCAACATTACTATGTAACATATACTAGGTTCTTGCATCGTAGTTGCAAATGGATTTTCACTTACCTTTCACCTTTGTGTGTGCAAGCTTCTATGGAGATCAGATCAATATCCTTTTTCACTCGAAGTCGGAAAATCACCTGTATTACCATTTAATATTAAAGAGAATCCTTAATTTAATAACCTTAACGTACAAAATCCCAAAATACATCCATTCTCAGCAAAATAATTTAGACGGAATCATCATTGCAAGTTACCGATGGCATTACAAACTTATCCCATAAATCTCGCTATTTCTCGAGTCAAATTATGAACGTCAACGTCATCCAATTGTTGTTGACAACCTAGTACCCTTAGAATCTATTTTCTAGGCCCAAGAGATGATTAATGTACATGTAAAGGCTGAAATCATATTAAACACAAAATTGGATAGAATCTATTTTCAGATTTCCCTTACCGTCCAATTATTTTTCCAATCCCTTTTCACCCCCTTATATAGATCCAATGACTCTGAAATTTTTACCACATTTCTATAACATGTATGTGAAGGTAATCATGCTCTAAAGTCGTGCAAGTAAAGTGTTCTCAGCCTCAAAATAGTCAATTTCCACAACACTAAAATCAGACAGTTTCCATTGTGATAGTTTTCGGTTTCTATTTTATTAGCATGTCACCAATCGGATTTCAGGCTATTAGAAGGCCATTTATATCCTTATAACTATCATGTAAAAACATTCATTTACATAGATACAAGTTATGTCTTAAGTATTATCCAAAATCAAAGTTTAAACCACTTAACTCTAGCAATTCCACATCACTGTACAGATTGCTTTCTTTCAAGTTCTTGTAACTAATTACCCTATTTTTGGCATCATGAAATCATTAACAACACTCTAACCTAATCACCAGAAAATTCATATGTTCAAGAAATTATAAACGCCTCAAGAAATAATGGATACAAACCTCAAAACTATGAAGTAACTTGGCTTTCCAGAAATTCGAGCATGCTGTTTCTATTTCTTTTTGGTTCTTTCACTCTCTTTTTCACTTGAAATCACTTAGATACAAGCTAATGGAGTTAAAATATTATCTATGAGGTAGATAAGTGGTCTTTAAATAGTTAAGGTCGTGCTTATTGCTTAAGGATTAAGGAATTTGTGAGCTGCAGCCACATCGAGCTATCAAGGGGAGTCACTAAGCAGGTGGAGGCTTCTTACTGCAATATTTGACCTTTCTACCACTATATTTGGATTTGTTCAAGCCTTATAAGATATATATATATATATCCCTCCTACACGAGATCATGCCTTAAGGTTAAAGAAATTGAGTGTTAAAATATCAAAATACCCCAAGCATGAGGTGTCTTAGCATAAGGTGTCTTTATGGCAGCAATACTTGAGTTTCAACCATTATATTTGGATTCATTTGTGACTTTTAATATATATATTTATCCTATAGAAAGTGTTTAGGGACTATACAAGAGATTGATGCCTTAAGGTTGAAGAAATTGAGTGTTAAAACGACAAACATCCCAAGCACGAGGTGTACAAGCAAGAGGTGGTCACTTGTAGCAAAAATCTGATTTTATATCTATCGTTGCAGGTACAAATCAAGTATCGTTGGCTTATTTTGACATGCTTACAATCCCTTTCACTTGTCCTAAGATCCCAAAGTATTTTATAGATTTAATTTCTCAACCATTCATTTAATTTCTTACCCGATTGACACCCGATTCTCAACCGATTTCAACAATTCGCACCTCAATATTTATAATGTCATATGAGACATATATTTTTTCGTTGTGATCATGCCTCGCATTCCAAATGTGTCAATTACCTATCTAGGGTTTAAGATGACCTCGATCCACCGAATGGAAAGCTTGAACCTTTGTCGATACTAATTTCCGACCTTTTCGATTTCCATTACTTACCAAGCTAATCTTCAACATTTAGTTAACCTAATTTTCTATCATAGCTCAATGTGAAATTCACTACTTAGGTCAAGGAGTCAAAGATCATCACTATATAAAGATTTTAAAGCCTCAATGATCAAACACACGTTTTTAAGAGAGAGCAATTAGGAAATTGATGCAAATGACAATGTAATTAGCATGGAATGCATGAATCATATTGGCCAAATGTAGAACGTGAAGTTCGGGGTATTACACAAATACTGAACATGTTCTAGATTAGATCGAGCTTGAGTTACTCTCGTAGGTAGATGTGAAAAATGCTCCTTATTAAAATCTTTCGAGGCAAGCTTCAGCTTCTTCAACTTCGAACACAGAGAAAACATAGGAGTACCCATGACCGTTTCACCCCAGATCCGAGCCACCAAAGGAAAAAAAAATCCCTGTGATCCATCCAATAATCAAAGAAGCGAAATGGAATCTTCCTACACGGTAACTCTACAAGTTTCACAACCATAGGAGAATGATTCGACACAACAGTAGTAAGAAAGGTAGCTGTCGACCCCTGAAACTCATCCTCCCATTTTTTGAATTCACCAATACACGATCTAGTTTCTTGAGAATAGGATCAGAAAAATGCTTATTAGACCACGTATACAAATAGCCATCAAACTTCAAATCATCCAAAACTATTGTTACCATGCAATTCCCAAGATCATATTGCCATGTAGGCTAAGAAGAAGAACCATCTTCCACTTCTGAATGAGAGAGAACGGAATTGAAGTCCCCCATAATCACCCATGGCAAGTAAGCAAAACCTCCTTGCCTAGCTACCAAATCAGCCCATTACATGCATTAACACGAACATGAAGCCAATGATATTTGTGCAACATAACATTTATAGCCCAACATCTTTTATTATTATCTAATAAGAGTCCTTCAGAAAGAACACAAAATATTAAAAGAGCGTCTGGCGCTAGTCTACGGAATCATAAAAGAACTCCTACTAAACATCTACAATAAATAAACCAGTCAAAAACTACTAATATTCGCTACTT